TTATTTTTGAGGACCTCTGTTATTAACTTTAAACCATAAAATATTCTACTCCAGTTTAACGCTTACTTCTTTATAACATGTCTTGGGGAGCTGCTTACATATATACACAACCATCACATACATGAGAGTCTATGCAGTCTGGGACAGAATCTTAACATCCATAATAAAGAATGCATAGATATGGCAATTGTCTATGTATGCTATTCCAGTAGCACCTCCCCCCTAGTAACATTCAATAAAAACGGATTCAACACCAGCCATTAAAGTATTAATTTTTTAGACTGTCACAACCTGCCCATCCTCATTTCTCCTGTTCATGGTCAAGTAAGACAGAGGGAACTAAAGGATATCTATCTGTGTACGTAATTGCTGTGGCCCATATATTGGCATTAAGAGACCTTCAACAATCATCTCACAAGCAGAATGTTTTATTTGAGGTAATGGTGTATTTCTTTTCCAGATGTGTGTAGAACAAGATGTCCTGAGCTCATTCTGTGGTCAAGCACTTGCAATACATTTCCCATCAGTATTTCACACAGATTCAGAAATCTCATTCCACACATATGCAATCCTGTGCAGGAACTCATAAGGACAATGACAACATTCAGTGTGTTTCTAAATGATCTTCCCCCTGGAGCATGCCCACTCAGATAAATTACAATGTTGAGATCACTCAAGATAGTACTGCAGATCTTAGATGACTGTCAGCAATGACTAAACTTAGGAATCCCAGAAGCCACTTTTACTAGTAACCTTTATAACTCTCACTGGAGTTGTAGTGGCAGATCACTTATAAAAATGCTTTTCCCAGCAGAGAGGAGGACATGTTTGTCATTTTCTGAAAGCTCAACTGTTTGCTTCCAACAGTCCTGTCAATTGACTTACCACCAGGGGAATGAAGATGAGTCTTACCCCAACTGGAGAACAAACAGAAGGATGAGAATCAACAAGACTGAGGATCAGAACTGTATTATGACACGGAGGGATCAAAGGTGATGTGATAAACAGCAAAGGTATCATGAAGCTGGGCACTTTCAGATACATGAAAACTTACAGACACAGAAACACGACTCCATATATTTTTACATACTTTTTAATCATTTCAGCAGCATATAAAATAATTTTTAGTATCTTAGTATGGAAAAAGCTTACATGAACACATGAAGTTCTGCTTTAAAGTCACAAATACCCATTAAAATGGCATTGATAGCTGTTTTCTACACCTTTGGCTATATGGCATTAATAGATCACCAAATGCCTGAGAGGTACCTGAGGGGAAAAGAAATGGCAGAAGATTGCTCATTCTAGTATCAAAAATGAACAATAAGTCAAAGACAGGACTAGTACCTGACAGTGCATGCTATATTTTATGTTAGTGCCCTACCTAATATTGCCTATGTGAAAGAAAATTTCCTAAAGGGTTTTCTCCTGAAGCATATCATTGTACGAGCTAGAGAGAGTTCTGGTTAAAAATAGAACAGCAAGCAAACCAGGAAAGCATGCCATGTCTAGTTGGGGAGTTTTTTTAGTGTCATGTGATACCTGTATCATGATGGATGGATGCCAAAATACCTATGGAACCAATACAAGTGAAGATGATCAAAAGGTGTATGAGTAAAGCTGTAAGAGCTTTCTGATCTTAAACTTAAGGAATGAGATCTAGCTTAAGTTCCTTTTTGATCATTTGTAGTCTTTCCCCTTCATTTGCCTCTGTCTTAAACATATAGTCCACTGCAAATTGAACAAAAATCTGCCAAGGCACGAAAGGAGGAACTAAATCTTCAAGCACCCTTCAATACACCTCATTTTGCAATGAACACCAGCCACAGTTTTTCTCAGTTACTCTGCAGTACATGCAAGCAGAAACGTAGAAGTAATATGCATTTTCAAACAAGCTAAAACCTACACTGACTTAAGCTGATGTGTGTTTTCAATCTCTGTCCCATTTCTGGTCCCTACACTTGTAAAATTAAGTTTCACATCTTTTCACCTAAGATAGGTGGATCTTTTGCAGTTCTCTTCACCTCGAGATCTCCTGCTGGATTTTTATATCCTACATAATTACTCAGGAGTCTTGACTAGTTTGAGTCTCTGTCACATCCACCTGCAATCACTGATTTACAAAAAGAAACCTCCTCCTTCGAAATACATTGTTGCCAAAACACTTAAAAAGTGAAAAAGTTTTAAAAGTTTTAAATTATTCTTCTTCTTTTATCTTGCCTATCTTTCTGTACTCAGTGCTACTTATTATGCCAACATATTCATATATCAAATATCCCCATAAAGTAGCTAATAAATGGCATCAATAACATCACATTGACTCCAAAGTCATTGTCATCCCTGTGTACCTTATTAACTAAAATCTTAAAGTTAAAAAAATTAGAAGTATATACAGGTAGGTTGAAAATATGCTAAGTATATTAATTTATTAACCCAATGCTCTCAGGCATGGTGTGATTCTTGGGGCTGTCCTGTGCAGGGCCAGGATTTGGACTTTGATGATCCTTGTGGGTCCCTTCCACCTCAGGATATTCTGTGATTCTGTGATTATTAAGCAAGTTGAAGCTGATTTTGATTTAATCTGTGTGTACAAAGCTAGAAACAGCTGCACAGTCACGCATCTTATCAAGTACATTTTTACTAAGGTCAACAACTTTGTTCAGACCATTTACGCATGCACACGCTAGCCAACATACTGAGCTTCAGGATCAAAAGCTTCATTGCATTAAAACTTCACAAAGTGCCAGTTTTCATCCACGTCTGAAGAATCAAAAGTTGTATTTGAGTAACATCAGTTAGACAGAAGATTATTCCATGCACAAATAATCTTCATCACAACATGTGGCAAAAGAGTAAAAATGTGTGCCATTCGTACAAATTATCACTGCACTTTGCATAAGATATAAAACCAGCTACTTATGTCTCTGTGGGGTTGTTTTGTTCCTGTACCAATTTGTATCAGAGCCCAGTGGGGTTTAGAATTGTGTGGACAGGGTAGAGTCAAATAGAATTAATTGCAGCAATGGAGATCTGCTTACAGGAGCAGGACAGGCAGGCACCATGTCTTTTTATGTCTGACTATATTGTACATTGTACATACCAATGAAAACGAGTTAAGTTTTTTTGTAGGCCTAATGCCTATTTTTACAATCAATCTTAATGTTTTAATGCCATTAGGTGACACAAACCAGAATTCAAAACATTTTCCACAGTGTGTAATCCAAATTCTAATCCAAGATCCACTATGTACTGAATCTGCACAGTGTCTACAGGAACCTTTCATACAATGTGTTTTGTCTTTCTAGCATAAACAAACTACCACCAGCTTGTTTCAATATATACAAGTTCTATATGCCATGATCCCTTGTCTTACGTTCTCCATCTCTGAAACATTTGAATGTCTCTCAATATATTTGTTTTGGTTTTAATACAAACAATACAAAGAGAAATATTTGAAGGGTTTTCAAATAGTGCTAGGTATTAATATACTTGAAGCAGATGGTAGGCTTGAAGTAATTCCTTTCACACTCGAGGCCAAACTTCAGGAAACTTATATTCCTTTCACAAGTGAGTTACTTTTGCTGGAATCATGTGCTAAGTACCAGCATAAAAATCAGAAGAAACTCCACGCACTGTCAGAACCAAGCGGTGCGATAACCCCACTCCCCAAAACTAAGGTAATTCAGCCGAATTAATGGAGTTCACCCAGACCCAAGACTTGCATCAGATCCACAACACTCTACCATTCAAATGTTATCATAAATCTCGAGTGATACTTAATATTTTAAACATAAGGTTTACGTTCTGTTGCTTCAGACACCTCAAATTTCAAATTTATTTTATTGGACTAGTTTTCTCCAGCTGCCAGTAGCATTATATGTTGGGTGACATACTTCAAACATATTTCTATGTTTAAACATCCAAAGTTGGCAGAAGGGAACAATCTTATGTTTCCTAAACTTGCCTTACCACAGTTAGGGACCTGCACCCACTTCATGCTCTCCACTGCAGTGTGATTTCCCCAGCTTGTCAAAACGCAGTGAAGAACTGTGGTTGCACTGTGTGCTTTGAGTCAGTAAACCCCTGCACACGGGCAGCACCTGCATGGACAGCAGCTCCAGGTAAAGTCTTAGATCGAGCTCGTCGGAAACCCAGGGAGCGCCGTTTCACCTATCCACACCTCCAAACTTACAGCAGCAGCAGATGCTGCCCCAGGACCAGCAGACAAGGTCCCACACCCGCTGCCCAGCAGCGCTCGGGTGCCTTTCCCCCTTGTGCCCCGGCCGCGGGTTCCACACGCCCCGCGCCCCCGGCTGCAGCGCCCAGCGCTGGGGGGACGCGACCAGGGCCATCAGGGAAACGCCAGCGCCGCTTCCCCCCCAGCGGACTTTAAAAGGCAGCAGAGAAGTCCTTGCCTCTCTCCCCGCACAAGTCGCCCGGCGCTAAGAATAACTCCTCGGAGCAGGCGGAGGGTCAGCGCCCCTCTGGCCGCACACCGGGGGCTGTCGCCTGGCTGGAACGTGGGACCCCTCGCCAGCACCTCCAAGCCAGCCGAGAGGCCCCGGCAGCGGTGCTTCCTCCAACCCCTCGCCGACCCGGTCCCGAGGAAGGGAAAGGAGGGAGAGAGGAGCCACTTACGGGGCCCGGGCACGGCTCCCTGCGGGCTGCGCGGAGCTGCGCTGACAGCGGCGGCTCCCTCTCGGCGGCGAAAGCCGGGGCGCTGCTCCCGTCACAGAGCCCACTTGCCCGGCCTTCTCACACGTGCGGGCCGGCAAACCCCACCCCGCCGACCCCTTTCCGCCGTTCCTTCCTCTCCTCCCTTTAGGAGGCGGGGGATGGGGGCGGGGATGAGGGTCTTCCCTGAAGGATCGGACCGTGTTCCCCGGGAGCATGTTCCCCGCCGTGTCCTTCGGGGAAAGGAGGCCAGGCAGCCCCGACCCGGCGGCCTCAGAGCCTACATAAACACCCCCGCGCCCCCCGCCCTTGCAGACCCGCCGCACCTCCGCGGGAGCGACGTTCAGAGTGCCCCCCGCGACGTTCTCCCTCTTCTAATTACGAGCAACCACGGGGCGCTCTAATCTCGTTCTGCCCCGAGTGCTTTGATGTTCTGCACGCGAACAGCCCCGGCGGGGGGTTCATGAGCCGCCCTCTGAAACAATTTTCCCCGCAGCTTCAGCCGGGTGAGCCCGCAGGCGGGGGGTGCCCGCCCTGGCCTTGCGCTGGAGGGCGGGAGGAGCGGCTGCTCCCGGGCCGGCCGCCTCCCAGCCGCCCTTTGCCGCTTCTCAGATCAATTTTTAGGGGCACCTGTCAGGAACATCTGGTGGGGGGTTGTGCAGGAGCTCCAGGAAGCGGTGAGAACGAAGGTGGAAGAGTCACCCCGTCGGTCCTAGCAGATAATGCTTCGTATGCTTCCTTTGGGAAGACATCATAGGCAAAATTTGGCTGAGAGCAGCAGAAAGTGTCACAGGATGGGTACAGCTGGTTATATGCACAATGCAGCTTCTTTTCATTCCGGTGTTGTCAGTCTTCCTCTCCTCCAATCTGCCTCTTCCTACGAGCCTTGTCATATTTGTTTGAGATACCTGGGAACTGGCAGCTCTATCTGTCCAGGTTGGAGAGTTTTTTTGCCTCCCTCTGCTTCAGCCTAAATAATTCAAATCATTTTGCTCAGCCAGATATCTTTAAAAACTCATTTTGAGGCTAAGAATAGCCTTAAGCTAAGAATAGCTAATGCTAAGAATAACATCAAGAATAGCCAGAATAAAACTTATAATCATCATCTTTTTCTCCCTGCACATATTCTACTTATATAGGCCCTTTCCTTTCAACACTGTAATCTGAATCTCCCAGCCAGCTGAGGAAGATGATTGTCCATCTCTGCTCACTGGTGCGGCCTCACCTTGAATATTATGTGCAGTTTTGGGCAGCACAATATAAGAAGAGTATAAAGCTATTGGAGAGTGTCCAAAGGAGGGTACAAAGATGGTGAAGGGTCTAGAGGGGAAGCCATATGAGGAGCAGCTGAGGTAATTTGGTCTGTTCAGCCTGGAGGAGACTGAGGAGAGACCTCATTGCAATCTACAACTTCCCTGTGAGGGGAAGAGGAGGGGCAGGCACTGATCTCTGTGGTGACAGTGACAGGACCCAAGGGAATGGCCTGAAGTTGTGTCAGAGGAGGTTTAGTTTGGATATTAGAAAAAGGTTCTTCACCCAGAGGGTGGTTGGGCACTAGAACAGGCTTCCCAGGGAAGTGGTAACAGAGCCAAGCCAGACAGAGTTCAAGATGCCTTTGGACAATGCTCTCAGACACATGGCATGAATCATGGCATGATTCTTAGGGCTGTCCTATGCAAGGCCAGGAGCTGGATTTCGATAATCCTAGTGGATCCCTTTCAGCTCAGAATATTCTGTGATTCTATGAATACATAAAATCTATCACAGTCCTTTACAAATTTTGGCTATGGATCTGCTCGTCTCTGTTCTATGATATTCTGTCACCATATATAGTGCATATGTGTGTATACATTTATATGTGCATACGTACATTATATATACATAGACACGCACACACACATGAATCCCCACTGTAGGCTTTCAGAAAACAGAGATTGTTCCATGAACACCAGAACTAAGATATAGCTGACTTGTGAAAAAAAGTCTTATCTTTGAATTTTTATGTGGCATGTTTAAACATACCTCTTTTTGCTTAGATCACAACTTTCTAACAAATTTTTTCATAATGCCCAGACCTGGTGCTGCCAGTAGATCTCATATAACTAATATTTCACTGCTGAGTTAAACTCTTTTGTAAATTTCTATGAACAGATTGAATATATTTCCTTCTGTTTCATTTTTGTATATAAATGTCATTTGTTCTTTGAGCAAGGAGTTGTCTGTCTTAAATACAGTTCTATCCACAATGGCTAACAATAGTACTTACTGTTAAAAGTTAGTTCCACCTAAAGCAGTTGTGTGTATGTGCATGTCTTCCTCTGTCAAAACAACCTGTAAAGTGTGAAATTAAATACTTACATCTAGTATTAATGGGGTATTATTTCAGCTCTAATTATACTACGTGGCTCTGTTAACAACTGAAATGTCTTTCCCTGCTCTCTCAGTCACTGTGGTGCCTTTGAAAGGTTGACAGATCCATAACTGCTTTTATAAAAGCAGCAGTGTCACGAACTTCAGCAAGCATGTTTCTGGGGGTTCTGATAGTCCTGTGCAGCCCTAGCTTTCCTTTTCTTCAGTAGTAAGTCCTTTCCTGCTCACTCTACAGCCAAGGTAAAATACCTGCTTTTGGAACATTTTGAGTTCCCATTTTGAGGATGTCAAACTCAGGTTCTCAACCTTCAATTTATTACTGACAGCTTGTAAATGTGTCAGTTCTGATTCAAATATTTGGTATGCACTAATGTGCCACATAATTAAAGCAAATAGCAGTTGTTCCAACTCGCTGGTTTTGCAGCATCACAGGGAATGCATGCATGTATCCAAGCTTAATGGATTGTATCCTGCAGTCAAATGTCAACTGCAGCTCACAAACATACAGTCCAGCTTTAAAACAGGTAGATAAGAAACTCGTCATGAGGTTCAGTCCTAACATCAAACATGCCCAAGAATTTTTTGTTAATTTACCAAGGCTTCCTGGGTGTGTTTGGAGTCAGCAATGAGCTCCATTAGCTCCATGACTAGAAGTAAACAGGCAGGAATTAATCCAGGTGAATGAGGTCCCCACAGCCTGTTATTGGATACTGCCTGAACTGCTATACTCAAAAGTACTTTTGATGTCCATGTTGAGACTAGGACATAAACATTGATAGGAGATAAAAATTGTTTATCTCCTTTCAAAAGTAGCTCAAATACAATCTTTAACCTAGCTAGGTTTTACCTTTCTCCCTCTACAAGGAAACTCTTTCAGAACTGGAAGTTTGAAAGAAGCTAAACATGTATAACTCTGAGTTCACATTCTGTGAGACTCTTGCTTCATACGATCATGCAGAGGGCCAGTCTGACAAGATAAGAAGAGGAGAAATATTTGGGTGTGACTGTTTAGTGACTTAGCACTACACAAGTGAATTTATGGCTCAGAGTAATTAACTATTCTCTGTTTATTTGCAGAATGGACCATTCTGTTAAACAGTCGTGTTGTGTTCCCATGTGGTTGGACTACTTTTACATTTAAATTCTCAGTAGAATTTCTCATCTTTCCTTTTCTGCACATTTCAGGTATAGGTAAGGAGTGTCATCAGCCTACTAAGAAATAGCTATATCAGTAAGGTAAGCAATACAGAGAAGATTTTTTTCACAATGCACATCAGAAATCCAGAGAAGTCATGTAACTAACGGGAAGCCTATTCAATCAAAACATTGGCAGTCAGAACATTATTTGTTCTTGCCCTTGCCATGTGTGCAGGACAATAAGTTTTGACTAAATGTTCTAATCCGCATCAAGACATTACGTATGGATGCATAAAACCTTCTGAATACTATTGAAGGGTAATTTTTGAGTAACTGGATTTGTAAATACAAACATTTTACTAAGTCCTCTATGTGATTATACTACATTACATGTCAGAAGTCAGATGCTAAAATAATTAAGAGCAACAAAATAAATTAGTGTCACCAAATCTGTGATTCAAAATTAGTTTTGTGAAATTTCTAGTTACCCAGCATATTCTTGCTGTACTGTATGTGCTGTAACTGCATGAATACAAAATAACCATTCTTCACCACATCTTTTAGCTGATAAATGCAAGGAGATTTTTATTATATGTGCAAAACAAAGGTAAAAACATGACTCATTCTCTTCCCCCCCCAGCCGCTCTTCATCTTCTACATGTAGGACTGTGTCTCACTCTGCGAATTGTAGTGTTTTCCTCTGTCAATGTATTCTTTTCACCTTCCTGTTTTCCACTGGGTTTTTCTATTTAATTGTTTCTGTTCTGAGTATTTATTGTCCTGTGTGGTGTATTGACAGGAGGAACTGTTGAAGAGTAGTATTAATATACTTAATGAACACATAGTAAATAGTGTCTTGAAGTTTAAACATGTTCTTTTTCCATTTAATCACATAAAGTAGCCTTATTTTTCCAGTTTTCAGTCTTCGTGGATCAGTCTGCTGTTAAATGGTTTCCACCAAATCAAATTACTAGATAGAAGCATGAAAGAAATACTGGCCAATCAGTGAGAATATGGTGGTCACCTGTGCCTGGGAGGGTACAGGGACTGAATCTGGGAAGAAATCCATCATATAATGGAGATAGTATGTATTCAGATATACACCTCTTTTCCTCTGAATTTCAGACTGCACTGTAGATTTTTGGGAGATTTAGAGAGCTGTGCTATGATAACAGGCATCAGTACTACCAATTTCTACAATCTCATCTGAAGTCTTTAAATGCTTGATCTTCAACCCCTACAGTCTAAGTCTGGGAGAAAATTTCCTCTTGCATTGTAAAGAAAAACCTGGAAAACATATATCTTGATCCAAGTGAGGCTCAGAAAACAAGGCTCTGAAGATAAATAACATAAAACTTAACATTTAAAATCCAGGTGACTTTTAAACAACTATCACAGACGTTGGAGCCTGACATAATTTTAGATTCAGTTCACAATACTGATTTTAACTAATGTGTAAAGCAGAATATAGGATATTAGCTCAGAATTACGAGTCATTAAGACATCATACAAAAAGGTTCAAAAAAGCAGAGAGGCAGGGTGGCAAAGAGGAAAAAGAAAGGGAAAGAAAACATTTCTCTAAGTAACCTAACTTTTCCAACAAAGTTATTACACCTTATAAAATAAAGTTTACTTATGGGTACTTAGCTATGGGGATAGGTACATTAATTCTATTAATGTTTTCAGAGAAATCGTGTCTGAAGGAAGGTACTTCGTGCCTTTAATGCCCTTGTGACCTGTGATTGCTGGTGATTTGAGGGGAGGAGGCTGAGCTCTAGCCCCCCCTCTTCTCCACCGAGTTCATGGCAACGTTATTCATAGTCAGTGATCCTGTGCAGAATATAAATTCCATAAAAAAGAAGGTGGTCTTCCTTGCAAACAGGTTAATTCTCATCAGGTCATGACAGAATTATGTAGCAGAACAGAAGCTTCATGTTTTGGCTACCAGAAATACATTTAGCCATTAGATAACTAAGGACTTTTATTAT